GCTTGCGGTCCTTTGGCGGCGTTCTCTGCGCGCCGCGGGCTGTTGGCGTGGGGTCTGCGGGGAAAGGGGCAGGCGGGAGCCGTGTTCGTCCGGGAGGAGCATCCGTACGTCCCGGGAAACCTACTTGCGCCTGCGGATGATCGAAAGCCGTGGCTACGCATTGCTGGGAAGGTTGTTATTTCGTACAGTTGCTGCCCCGCGGAGAGCACTAAATCGAGAACCTTGGACCAAAATGTGTTTTCTTTCCCCACGACTTTTAATGCGTGTTTTAAGGGGTTTAAATCTGATGCAGTCAGGGGTCTAAAAATAATATCATCCACATTTCCTAGCATGTGCAAGATTCTCCGAACGGCCTTTGCATGTGTTCCAGCACACGGGCATTTGTGGAGATGCTACTTTGCAGTGGGGCAGATGGTGTTCCCCGTGGGTGCATGCAGCGAGACTCGCGTTTCCAGGAAGCTCCTCGATGCTGGCGAGAGGAGGGGTAGCAGAGTGTGGTCGGGGAGAGGCCGGGCAGTCATAGTTCGGATTTAAATGGGTAGGGAGTGCCCTAACCAGGAGGAATCAGCTTGCTTTGTTTGCAGAAAACGATGAACCTGAGTAATTTGCAGCTGTGGAAGACAGCAAGTCTGAGCTTATTCTTCATTAACTGGCAGGCTGATGTGTTTGTGTTTCTGTCATAATGTACCTACAGAATGTTGCATATAAAATAACGTGCTTCTTCATGTAGACAAATATTTATTTTGTAGTTAAATTTAAATTGTGCCAAAATGTATTTTGTTATTGTTGGATGCAGGGCTTCAATGAGACAATTTCGGTCTTCAAAAAATTACTTTATTCTTCCAGAATCTAAGTTTTTCTAAGTTAAATGCTACTTCTCTTTATTGTCAGAGTTATTCAGTCTCATTCTGTCATTGCTTTTCCTATAGTTTCACTAGTTTCTGATTTCTCACCTCATTTATGGATGGGAGGAAGTCAGTATGGAAGCAGAACACCCTTCTGGTTTTTTAATATATGATGGAAGTTAGCCTTATTGCTTTAAATAATGATTGAATTGAATTTATACCTAATTGAATCGACATTAAAAATAAAATTTAGATGATTAATTCCTTTGAAAAACGGGTTGATCTGCATTACAATTAGAAGTTAGTGGTTGAACGTGGAAGACCTGTGCAGTTTGCAACTGTGATTTTCCTCAGAAAATGGATATTTGGAGTGGACGTGTAGTGAGCGTTAGGCAGCATCATTAATCTTTGCAGATGTAGTACCATTATTAGCATCCCTTTTACCTCTGGGGCACATAGTTATCTTCAGTTCCCAGACACAAGTTTTATCTTGCATCAAATACTGTTTCTACAGTGTAGCTGTTCGGCAGCACAGTGCTGTTTATTAGCTGCCAGCCTGCCTTAAGTCTAGTAAATGTATGAAGGAGAGATATCTTCTGGCTTTGAGCAAGGAGTAAGAGTGAACACCTTGTTACATGAGATACTTTTTCCTTTGGTAGAACAATTTAAGGATTCAGAGAGGCAGACTTTATTATTGATTTTGATGTGTGTATTCCATTTGCCCAAAGAATCATTATGCAACTGTAGTGAAATTTAATGTTGATATTTTCTCCTGTTTTATTCTCTGCAATCCAAGACATCATTAATCTAGGCTGTGGATTTTATAGCTGATTAAGAGCTTGAAGGCATATTAGTCTGTGGATGTGGTCAGTTCTGTTGTCCTAAAGCCAGGATGAAGAGAGGAAAGAAGGTTCTCTTCCTTCAGAATATGACCCTTTTTTGTTCTTTTTTTCTTTTGGATCAGATCTTGAAGCATAGGGTGAAGGTTTCTCTTCACGGTGCATGGACGGAAAGCCAATGCGCAGGTAAGACTATGAAAAACAATTGTCCTTCTCTTGCCCAGATATGATAAATCACATGAGTTGGTTTCTGAAGTGCCTAGACATTTCTTTCTTTTTTTTTTTTGTTAAGCTCTGCCTAGGAAAATTATAATATAAAGTGTTCACTCTTAGTCCTTACTTAAATGTATTTAATTTTCTATATTTACAAGACCAGAAGTCTAAATGAATGTGCTGTTAGGAAGAGTACAGCAGACAAGTTATTATAATTCTCCATTCCCCATTTACTATCCTATTTAAAATTCAGTATTTAATTACTAATCTAATTGTGTGAAATAATCTGCCTGGGAATAAATTTAAACTTTAAGGGGCACTGTTTTTCCCCTTAACTAAAGGAATTTAGTTTCTTTGGTTGGGTAAGGTCCTGGGTTAAAAGGAGATTTCCTTTTCAAATTATGGGTGCCAGCTGCCTCAGTTCTAAGGAGTCGAAGGTGAAGCTGAAGTTTAATTCAGGGGAGTTCTTGCAGTGGTTATGTCAGAGACATCTGTTATATAGAGAAATGATTACCACAGTAAGTCAGGTTGATGACAGGTTGGCAAACAGGGTTGTCTGCTAGTTCTAGTTGCATTTCACTGTCCAGTGGCAATCACATGGAGAAACTTAACAGCAAATATGTTTCTGTATTTCTGTGTATGATACAGGCTGCGTGGAAGCAAAGTTTCCTGAAGTTTTGTACCTCTAAATGAAGTAAAAACAACTCACACAAATTGCTTAGTCTGTCTGCACTTTGTAGGATGTTGATAGTAGGGAAGCTTTTATTAACAATAATTCTGTAAACAGTCATGTAAAAGAAGAAAAGGAATTCTAATCATAGATGAATATGTAGAGCATATCTAGCTACAGCATTTGCAGAAACCATTAGCGCAGGTTCTGTATAAGAAGGCAATAAATAAATAGTCATTTAAACCCTTAAAGAGTGACACTGTATTGTTTAATTAAATGAACCTGACAAGCACAAGAAAAAAAGGCTGTGCTGCTGTTTCAGTTAAGCTAATGAGTAAACCTTGTGACATGATATGGGCATCACTGCTGTGAGGTTATGTATTGTTCAATATTTTTGCCAAGATAAGAAATGTGGTTTGGAAAATGAGCTGTATGTGACTTTTACAGTGAGTTCCTTCTTTAAGACAGATTAAGTAGCAGATGAGCTTTCTTCCATCTTAGTCTTCTACAGTGTAAACTGTTTAAACATTAACCAGTGTAAAACCACAGCTTTTCAGGTTCTTGTGTTGTACTTCATTTATCAAAATCTTTTTGCAAGATGACATAAAATTGGTGACTGGCTTGGCTTGTTTTCTTGTTTTCTATTTTTTGTGTTCCTAGTGGAAAAATTGAGGTTCTAAATTTTTTTTGTCTGCTGTTTTCTGCATGTTGCATTGAGGCAGAAAATTGAAGTGCTGAAGTTCATGTCTTTAGTGGGTTTGTGGCCTTGGACTTGCTATCATGGAAGTTCTGTCTGCTACTCAGACTAGGTGGTTTTACTGGTGGGCAACAGCTGGGTGCCAAAGTAATAAAGGTTTTCTGTTGTGATGCTGATCTTGGCACTTCAGGCTTTGGGGGAGTTTTAAATTTTATGTGGGTAATGGGTGCAGACCTGACCTTTGAGTACTTTTTGTTTTCTCTCCCTCTCTGGCAAAACAGGTTAAGGCATGGATAGCAAGTTTGACATATTTACGTGGTTTTACTTTTGATCTAACTTAGCTGATCGCTGTGCCTCAGTGTATTGTACTGCCTCAGTCTAGGCTGACAAGCAGGGCTCTATCACAAGCTGTGGACTTCAATTCTCAAATGTGCTTGCATGTTTTAAGGGCCTCTGTGTGAATTGTTAAAATTTGTTTGTTGTTCTACTGTTGTTCTACATTTAGCAGAAAATGATAAAAGATTCCTGACTGAACTTTAAGCTCCCAGATCTTCCTATAAGGTCCAGCTAAGCAAATGGTACAGCATTTTCTTTTATCCTTTTATCCTGTTATTCAGGGCTCTGCAGCCATTTAATACCACATGCAAGAGTCCTGTTAGATATTGCAAGAAGAGGGAAGTGACACTTGGTCTGTACTCTGTTAGTAAACATGGTGACTTGGTATCAAATGTGTACAGCATTCAGAGGATGGGAAGTACAATTTGAACAGAAAAGGAGTTGCAGATACTTCTGTCAAAGGTATAGTAAACACATTGATGTTGGAACAGGATTTATCTTGCTGTCCTGGTTTCAGCTGGGACAGAGTTAAATTTCTTCCTAATAGCTGGTGCAGTGCTGTGTTTCAGCTTTCATGTGAGAATAATGCTGATAACACACTGATGTTCTAGTTGTTGCTAAGTAGTGCTTACCCTTATCATGGACTTTTCAGTTTCCCATGCCCTGCCAGTGAGGAGTTGCACAAGAAGCCAGGAGGGAACAGAGACAGGGCACCAGACCCAAACTAGCCAAAGGGGTATTCCATACCACAGCACATCATGCCCAGTATACAATATGGGGAAGTTGGCTAGAAGGGGCTGATTACTGCTTGGGGATGGGCTGGGTATCAGTCAGCGGGTGGTGAGCAATTGTATTGTGCATCACTTGTATTTGCTGGTTTGGGGGTGTGGGGTCCCCTTTTAGTTTTGTATCTTTGTGATTGTTATTTCTGCTATTATTATCATTATAAGATAGTACTTTATTTTAGTTATTAAACTGTTCTTATCTCAACCTGCAGGTTTTGCATTCTTTTGATTCTCCTCCCATCCCGCCTGAGGAGAGAGAAGTGGGGGGGGTGAGTGAGTGGCTACATGGTACTGCGTTTCTGGCAGGGTTTAAACCATGACACTTGCATTAGGAATGAAGTGACAGTTGGGGCAGGCTATACTTTCTCTGTCCGGGAGGAGCAAGGGAACACTGTTTTGCTGAAGGAAAAAACAAGGCAGAGGGGACCTCTCAGTAAAGGGCATAGTCCTGCAGTACCTGAGCAAGGAGGGCAGAGCAAATTCAATAACCAGGGTCAGTCAAGAGTCCAGTACTCATCAGGCAAGTCTGTAGTGATGAAGAAGGGCTGAGGTCAAGCCAGGAAGCCAGCTCAGCAGATCAGTGTCATTGGAGTGCAAGGTCAGGTGCAGATGTGCTCAGGCCAGGCACAAGGGCTTGAGCAGCTCCCAAGCAAAGTGGGGAGGTCCTCCTACCTCTTTCCTCTTCCCTGCAGCCTAATTCCAGGTTACAGCAGTGCTGTACTGTAGCAGCCTCGAGCACAGGCAGCCACACCATGCTGAGGGGTAGTCTTCAGACCCCAGTGGTGTGCTTGGGGCCCTCGTGTGCGCTTAAAGTTAACCAATAGCTTGGACATAGCTCTTGACCAAGATAAAATACAAAAGGCTTAGGAAGATTTTGAAAGACTCCAGTAATGACTTCATCTTTCAGAGTATGGACATCCTCATTCTTGGTGAAACTGAGTTTTCTAGGCTTGGTCAGTAAAAATCATACTAAACAATGGAATAGGGACATATCGTAGAAGCATAGAATGGTTTGTTTTGGGTTGGAAGAGACCTTAAAGCTCATGTAGTTCCAATCCCCCCGCCTTGGGTAGGGACATCTTCCAGTAGACCAGGTTTCTTGAAGCCCCATCCAGTGTGGCCTTGAACACTTTTAGGGATGGGACATCCACAATTTTTCTGGGCAACCTGTTCCAGTACCTCACCACCGTCATAGTAAATATATACCAGATCCTTGCTGCTCTCCTCTTGAGTAATGTAAAATACTGTTGCAGTCAGGTTTATCTGCTTGTTTGCGTGACTCAGGCTCATTGACAATGTGTATCTAAACCTTGCTGGCTAGGTAAGAAGAGGAATTGGTGGTATTTTTAAGAATAATCAGACTTTTAGCTAACTAATTCCTAGAGTATTGATAGTCATAATAAAGCACTTCCATTTACTTAGTTGGCAGTGTTGTCACTTCTGTCATCAAAGGTATTGCATTTGGCTAGGCCAAATCAAAGATCTTTGTTCTGGCAGTTTTGTAACCAATATAGGAAATAATATATTATTTGTGTATGTGTTAAATTCAAAGCAAGGCATTGACAGAAATTGCTACTGGCTTGTTTTGTTATTTTCATTTGCTACTGAAATCCAGTAGTGATGTATGATTTTGGATTTCAGTTGATATTTTCAGTCTGAGACTTGTTCTGTTGCATAGGTCAGCCTATTTTTGTTTTCCTGAACAATGTTAAAGCTTGCTTATAATCTCATGCTAAAACATATGTTAACCTAAAAAGAATTAAAAAAAAAAAAAATGCAGGCCACTGACTTGGAAGCTAAGGAGCTCTAGGACAGTAGTGGAGAGATTTTTTTTTTTTTTTTTTTTTTTTTAAGATATGTTAGTAGATATCTTTTTGAACTTTGGAAGGAGCTGCTATAAGCTCCTAGCATGGATGTTTCACAGATGTCTGTGTTAATGAGTAAAGTTTTGGCAACTGGTGTAGCCTAGTAAAATGGAGGCAGAGCAGCATATTTATCTAGCTCACTTAGTGTTGCAGACTGCCTGTGTTTCTATTTGTGCTTTTCAGCAGCACACTACAGAAACTGATCCTTTGTCAGCCCTTTCTTAATCCCATTGTATTTGCTGATTTCCCCAGACCTGCATTGTGATGGAAGCTAATCCCAGAAAATCTGCATAGCTGGGTGTGAATCTTTTTATCCTTGCATACACATTTCTTCCAATCCTCAACCCCTCTTCATCACCCCGAGTGTTCAGGAGCAGCTCTTAGCTTTGCATGTGTGTGTGGGGAGGCAGCTAGCCTGCTATGCGAGGATCAAGTGTTGCCTTCTGTCTTTCACACCTCTAAGTACTGACTCATCATTTCATTCTCGATGCATACATATGCATAATGCACACATAATGCAGTTAAATTGTTATACCTGTGGAGGCACTTGCTATCAGACAGTGTCCTTCTAATTCATGCTTCCATGCCTGTGTAAGCAGCAACTCACAGTGCAATGCAGGCACTCAGATGAACGCTGATGGGAACAATGCAGGAACACCTCCAGATCTTACTAACCGGACTCCCTTTCAGTCAGTTTATTTAAAGGCTTGTACAGCAGTTTCATTTGGGCAGAAAAGTCCTGTTCTGTCCTGTCTTGGCTAGGAAGGATTACTGCCTAAATCTGGCCAGTCATGTGGCATAAGATGGTCCACCCCATTGCGCTGTGTCAGCAAAGAGTCTTGGGTGATGGGATTGACAAGGTACACTGTATTCCTTGTGGCAGCATAGGCTTAATCTAATCTTTCTGTACTTAGAATCTGTGCCAGTCTAAAAAGTTCTCTGAGATTTGCAGTAAGGCTGTTTTTAGTGGGAGTTGTCTTTGAGGAAAGCCTACGGGTGTAGTGGAGGGATTCTGCTTTCCAGAAGCAGGTATTGTCTTAGATATAGGTCATGTCTTCTGCTATGTTAGTTACATGGAATGGGTTTTTGGTTTGGAGAATTCTTGTTCTGTACTGTTGTGATTTGACTGACCAAAAATTATTACAGTAAGTGTGTGTCTTAATAGGGCTCTTATTTTTCTTTTTTTCTCCCAGGGTTGGTTTGACATAGCTTGAAAGTCCTAATGCACAGTAAAAATCTGTTTGGCTTGCTTGGCAAGAGCTAGACTCTACAGGGAGATTTTTGTCACTAACTTTCTCCATCTCTTGGTAGAGGGATTAAATTACTTGCCCTCTGGCCTTAGCTGCTAAGAAGCATGAAAGTAAGCTAATAAGGTAAATTAATCTTTAGTCAAGGTTTCTTGGGGGTTTTTGTAGGGGTACCATTAAACTTGATTTGTCTATGTTGCTGTGAGGAGAGCTTAGCACATTTTTCATGAGGAACTTGGCAGAGCTTTGAAAATGGTTGTCAAACCCTACAAGGTGAATTTGGGTTGTGAGGGACAAGAGTGGGTGGAGGAGAGTGAGAGGCAGTATAACAGCAGAAGGATTTGTCAGAGGTGTCAGAAAAGTAGAATGGTGATGGATATAAAAAAAAAAGATGGAATGGGGGTAAACCCCAGGGCATTTGAGGTGCAGAGGCTGAACAGGAACAAGGAACAAAACCGAGACAGGAGACCCAGCTGGTAATGGTCTGAAACATCTGAATGTGATGATGAAGAAGAGAGTATGGGGGGAATGGGAAAACAGGCTAAGATGCAAGTGAATAATTTGAACGACTGCAAAGAGGCTGGTTTCCCTGTGGTTAGAAAATGTGTTTGACATAGTAATGAGAGGAAAAGATGTGAGTTACTTTTTCCTTTTTTTTTAATTCTTTCCTTCAAGCATGCTGCAAAATACATTGAGCAATGGCAATGCAAAGTTAGATTTCTTTTTAACTCTTAATATGAACCAAGTGAAGTAGTGACAGCTCACAGATAACAGTGTACGAGAGAAGGTGGTAATGGATAGCATGTATTGGGTCTTTCAGTATATCTTAACCAGCTAGAATACTAACTGGATAATTCATAACTATCAGTATTCTGGTATTTTGTGCAGTATGCTTTAATTGATGTAAGTGGTGGTTTTCCTTTGAAGTGTGAAGAGGAAATAGTTTCCTTTATTTTCCTTATTTTCATAGTAATCGATATGTTACTGGCATTTATGCATCTTTTTTAATTGTGCGTATGATATGTGGCAGAAATTCACATATGCTATGCTTGGAACATGCAAAATGCCACCTCAGGTATGTGTGTACTGATCTGCTTATTTAGTCTGATTGCTGAAAATAGAGTTGGGTTTAATTCTCGTTTAGCACTGATTTCAGTCATAATGTGTTGTAAAGTCTGGGGTGTAGGCAGACATCTCTGCAAAGTGAGGTTTGAGGTGTGTCATCTTGGTTCATGCTTGCAGAACTGCAGAAGGGCTTGGAGAAATACTGTATTCCCATTCTATTGGGTTAGTAGTATATGTGAAAAGTGTGGTCTGTCAGCATGTCATGCTGCTGTGCAGAGGAGTACTGCACTTAGGCTGTGGCAGAGCTGACATCTGCTCAGGGAAGTGAGGGATAAAGGAAAGGTACCTGAACTTTCATAAAGAAGAACATCAGCTAGCTAACATGTTGCACGTGGAACTTGGAAGATAGTATGTTGTTCCTACTCTGTGTCAGCAGCTTGTTTTTTATATTCTCAAGTCATTCCTCATCTCTAAAGTTATCATCTTGACTTTATTTTCTTCCTTTTTCACTAGGCCAATAGTTGTAGATACTTTGACTTTTTTTGACTTTTTCCTGGTCAGTCTGATAATCTCAATTGCCTTCTGCAGTTCTTAGTCTGCCATTCTTGGGAAAGATTAACCTTCTTTTGAAACGTGTCAGGGAAGTTGGATTGAGTCAGAAGCCTCCATAATTCCAAAATAACTGGTGATGATTAAATGGATATTCTGTGAACCTGAAACACTCATGGTAGGCTGCAGGCTATTTTAAATTACTGAAGTCTGTGTGACAGTTTAGTGTGTTCAGATATCAGTGATGAGTGACCCTCTAAAAACAGTAGATAGAAGAACAGAAAAGTTTGGCTAAATCATGCAGCTGGAATTCTTCACAGTGGAAATCCATCTCCAGCTCTGTTAAGGAAAACTCAAGTGACAATGGGCAAGTCAGCTAATCTTTTCTGCTTTGAGTCACTCTCTGTGAAATGGGGATATTGCTTCTCTACCACACAAGGCTATTATGAGGTTCAGCTAATGAATATGTATGTGTAGTTGGATATTACAGCCATGTGTCATAGAAAGCATATAAAAATAGATGTAAATATAAGCTTCTTGCAAGTTGACATTTGTTTACTTCTAGGTATGCTTTGGTTTGAGACAGATTCCTCCTTCACGTAATCATGTGCTTGTTTCTGTTACAGCATGGAGCTACAGGCAGTGCTGGTTTTGTGCTTGTAATCAGTGCGAGCTGTAGAGCGCTTTGGCTTACAGTTGGTGGTAGATTAGGTGACGATGGTCCTGTCTTATGACTTCCTCCACTGCAGGTGTACCAGTACTCGACCAGGAGAGACCGGAATGGATGTGACTAGCCGTTGCACACTTGGAGATCCTAACAAACTGCCAGAAGGGGTGCCACAGCCTGCTCGCATGCCCTACATTTCTGACAAGCACCCTCGACAAACCTTGGAAGTCATCAATCTTCTGAGGAAGCACCGGGAATTGTGTGATGTGGTGCTAGTAGTTGGTGCAAAGAAGATCTACGCCCACAGGGTGATTCTATCAGCCTGCAGCCCTTACTTCCGAGCCATGTTCACTGGGGAACTGGCAGAGTCTCGGCAGACAGAAGTAGTAATTAGAGACATCGATGAAAGGGCCATGGAACTGCTGATTGACTTTGCATACACCTCTCAGATCACTGTAGAAGAGGGAAATGTCCAGACCTTGTTGCCAGCTGCTTGCCTTCTCCAGTTGGCTGAGATCCAGGAGGCCTGCTGTGAGTTCCTTAAGAGACAGTTGGACCCTTCCAATTGCCTGGGCATCCGAGCTTTTGCTGACACTCACTCATGCCGTGAACTGTTAAGGATTGCTGACAAGTTCACACAGCATAACTTCCAGGAGGTAAGAAGTGAGTGTGTTGGAGTTAGGGTGTAAAATGTATGAATGTGTCCTATGACAGCTTTGAGCAGCTCTCATCTTGTGCTTCTTTCCAAATCCTGCTATTACATTTGCTGTGTGCCATAATAGTGATGGGTACCAGTCATTAGGTGGGGAAGAAAGAGGAAAGAGGTACTTGTAGGACTGTGTTGTACTGGTGGTTTGTATGTGATCCATAGCATTTCTTAAAGTTGGGTGGCAAGTGCTACGTGGACGGCAAGATTGCAGGTGTAGCTGGAGTTTGGCGGTGAATCTGACAGGACTGCATAATGGTATGATGTTTCATTTCCCTTTCAGAAATGTTCTGGATTCTACATGATTGGAGGGGAGATAGGTGTTAAAGTAAGGACAGTGCATCAACAGAACCAAAAAAATTTGATGTTAAGTTTAGGGATTGGAAAGGTGGGTGTATGGGAGAGCACGCAGCTGCCTCAGTGGAGTCTTCAGTTCCCTTGCTGTAGCAGAACTAGGGTTTTGCATCTATTATTCAGCAGAAACTGTTTAATTTTGTAGCTTACCTTTTTAAACTTGAGTCTCTTCCTATCTGACTCTCTGCCTGGGTGTTTCTGTTTTTGTTTTGTTTTTTTGGTTGTGTGTTTGTTTTTGTTTTTGTTTTTTTTTTTGTTTTTTTTTTTTTAGGAGTGGGAAATTGCCAGCAACTGTTTCAGGGAAGGATCAGCATAATAATTAAGAATTTTGTGAGCGGTAGTCTGGGAAGAGTGGGTCTTTACTTTGCCGTTACACCCAGATGCAGAAAGGAGCCCAGTGCTTTAAGTGGTGTCTTTCCTGAGCCCTGGTTGGAAGGGTAAAAATTTGTGTGTGTTTGGGAACCAGCTGCTCTGTAGGAGTGTGCTCGGCATGGACGTCTGTTCCCCTGCTAAAAGAAATTAGTCTCTTGCCTCTTCTAGAAACTGCACTCTTCCATCCCTTGGAACATGTAGCCTGCTGTGGAGAAATCGCCTCTTTCCACCTGCTTCATAGGTAGATGTTTTCCAAAGGGAGTAACTCTGGTATCAACTCCTGGTGCTCATTTAGTGTCCCCAGAGAAGCTGCAGTATGTAAGTGCTGTAATTGATTGCAGCTTGCTGATTTTCTTTTCCCTGCAGGAAACAGATTGGAATTGTATTAATTTCAGTCAGAAAAAATATGAGCAGAAGCAAACACAATTGAACTTGAGTGTTGGACACATTGAAGACAATACTTGGTATCTAACTGTAGACACATTAGTTTACTCTAAAAGTTGTAGTTAAATACATCTTTCCTATCTGTAAAGACTAGAAAATAGAACTTGTGGTTTAAGATGAGAGCTTGTGTTTTGCAGAACTTGGTGATTTCCCAAAAGCCTGACATTTTAACTGTCCATTTCATGTGCTCTGTGCTTGCTCTGCATTTAATTTCTTCTACATTTTTTTTGGAGGGGAGCAGGATGGTAAACAGATGGCCATTTTTTTCAGTGCTTGGTTGTTTTAATGGTTAGATCTGTGCTGCTCTTGTTATTACATGAGTAGGGCATGCTTACAAGCCTCTAACTTTTTAACAGCATAACAATTTTGTTTTAAAATGTTTTAGCATTAATACATATAGCTGGCTGTTAAGGGCTGCTTGCTATGGGGTTCTTTTCTTTTGCAGTCTCTCAGAAACAGCTGTCTTCCTTATCCCTGTTAAAACACACAAAGCAAAAGTTTTGGGCTCAAAACCACTCCTACTCAAAGATGGGGCAAATTAAAATTGACTTAACTGAATCATGGCCTCCGGAAAACAATTGCTTAGATTAGAGCACTATTTTTTTTGGCCTGGGCAGGTTTTGATGTCCCTTTCAGTGCCCTGGGAAATTTGCAGCTCTTCATCCTTAATGATCATTTCTTTGCTCCTACTCCTTTCTCTGCAGACAGTCTTAGTGGTGCTGCTTGTTGGGATTGTGTTCTAATCTGCTATTATTTTCCATCTGGAGAGTGGTTTGGTAATCTCTGATGGAAGCCAGTGATATCACTACTTAATCCTCCTCTACTGTGGAGGCTGAGAACTGATAAAAATGTACCTTCCTCTGCAGAGGCTGTACGCTCATCATTCCTCTGAGCTGGGAAGAAATGCCAGATGGGAATTTCCTGAATGACGATGTAAAATATTAAGCACTAGGCATCAGGCCAAACCATGCAGTTACCCTGAACGCAATTTGAATTGCTTCATGTCCTCTGCTGCACTAACCTCTAGTTCTATTGATTTTTCTGTGTATTGCTGCATTACATCATTAACTTCTTGGTAAAATATTTTTCCAAGTTTTCAATTTGCCTTAATTTGTTGCCTAAATCCCCTAGTGAATCTTGTGGATACAATGTTAAATGGTTTCGTTAACAACTCTGCTGTACCAGAACAACTTTTGTACTTTTTTTTTTTGTTTGGTCTCTGACACCTTTGTGAAGGGAAAAATGTATTCAAGGATGAACAACTTGTATTTTGTATCAACAGACAAAAAATGCACCCCATATTATATACTTCGACATTTGTTCTATCTGTTTGTAAAAGCATCAGTGCACATGAATACTGTAGAGGAAATGAAGCCCATCCAATTCTTGTTTAATAAGAAGTCAGTCTAATAGACCATTAGTAATATTAGGTAATTATTAGTGTCCTGATAATTAAGCCAGAATAAGGCAAAGCATTTAAAGTAATTTACTATGTAAACTAACAAGTTGCATAGTGGTAATGATTTGGTGTGCAGAAGTGCTTCCAGTACTTTGAGTTTTGTGAGGCTATCAATGGAACTGGGTTTTCTGAGGGTGGAAGGGAGAGTCTGGCTGACCATCCTTACCTCATAAATTTCTAGAGTCTCTGTTTTCAGTCTCCGAGGCTGCATTTACAAACTGTCAGAGTAAAGTTTAGACATAAGCTAGTCAGTGTAGAAAGGAGAGACACTATGTAAAAGTGCTGATAAAGATCTTTTAATGATCAACCCAGTTCTTACTCTAAGCCTGAAGAAGTGTGGGTTAGCCTGTCCCTAAAAGCCCATGGAATCCAAGAACAGTCTTGTAACTGATCTCGTTGTGGTCTTTTTTTTAACAATATTTTTTATTGTCAGTAACTTGGCAATTTTTGTGTATATGTTCAGTGCTTTTAAGTAATTTCTTTAGGTAATTAAAAGGACTGCACAACTGACTCCTGTTGAGATGGTTGTGTCAAGATATTTTTCTTTAATTTATGCTGCAAATCATAAGTCATAGAATTCTAATGTGCTCACAAATTACAAGAACACGGCCAATATTCAGTTATTTTTTTGTCACTGAACCTCTTGGAGATTACAGGCTATGAACTGGGAATGATTGTAGGGAAGCCAAGATGGCAGTTATCAATCAAACCATTTCTGCAGATCTCTTTATTTTGATTCTTGCATTTTTCCCATGGTACCTGCGAAGAAGACATGGCTGTGCATGAGCTCTGTAACTTCCCAAGGCAGTCGCAGACTGACTCGTGTGCTCTGCAGTGTGTTGTGTGAGCAGTTCTCCAGTGACAGCTAAAGCCGTCTGAGAAACACGGTTGCTATCTTGGGTGCTGAAGGAATTATATTTGAAGATTGTCAGTGGCTTGAATTTCCCAAGAGATCAGTTTTTAGGGCCTTAGGAGGCTCCGATTTCCTCTCTAGTGCATCTGGACTTGTGCATACTCGCATCTTAAGAGCAAATGAAAGAGGCAGTATCAAATGAGTCCATCTCCCTTACCTGAAGTATTTTTGTTCTGCCACAGATAAGACTTCCCATGTTCTCTACAATGCCTCTGGTAACTTGTTTCTGAGACTTTTATTTTGTTCTGTGTTTTGAATTTCTTGTGAATAGAACCCCTCTATTCTGATAGTGCTTTTCAGTCACATATTTATCACCTTTGCAACATTTTAATTTCTGCTTTGTGTTAGACATGCTGAACAAGGACACTGATTTTAAAGAAGGTCTTTGTTTTGGTTTTTTTTTTTCCCCCCTATATTTTGAAATCCGATCAGTGTGTTCTGTGGTTTAAAGTGTCCTACAAGAAACAATTTTGTGTAAAGGTCCTTTTCACTTGCATTCCCATCTAAAAGTGTCTTTGTTGTGTTGCAAAGGACTGCATTCTGCTCTGTGCAGCAAACCCTTCGCATGTGTGATGTCAAAACTGATGGGTATTTGGCACTTTACTGGATCCGTCCATTAGATTCTAATTCAGGTGGACTATATCCTCTTTAGAGTTGCACTGAAGTGCTGGTGTGGTGTATGCTCTGGTACTTTGGCCATTGTCCTTACTTCTTTTTTCACCCTCCCTTTTCTGTTTAACCAGGTAATGGAAAGTGAGGAGTTCATGCTGCTTCCTGCCAATCAGCTCATAGATATTATATCCAGTGACGAGTTAAATGTTCGCAGTGAAGAGCAGGTGTTCAATGCAGTGATGGCCTGGGTGAAATACAGCATTCAGGAAAGAAGACCCCAGCTGCCACAGGTAATCTTGAGCACAGTAATATTTGAGGCTGCTTTATTCAGAAGAAGAATGATGAGGGCTGATACGGTGGTGCCACAGCAGTGTCAGTTCTGATTTTATGCAAAGCTCCAGTAAATCTGTCTGACTTCCACCTATGGTAGATGGCTTGCACTCTGTTCATCTAGGCAGGAAGGTGCACTGTCTGGAGTCTTCAGCAGGGGCTTTGTTGAATTGTTTCCAGGTAGGACTTGCCAAACTAGATCACTCCAGTCGTCTGTCCAGACAAACCTGTCTGCATTGCTTTGAGTGTTGTATAAAAACCACAGTGGATTTAAAAAAAAAAAAAAAAAAAAAAAAAAAAAAAAAACCCAAGGAGTATAAAAAAAAAAAAAAAAAAAAAAAAAAAAAAAAAAAATCATCTGTGGTGTATCTTTAAGCTCTGCTGCTTGATGCCTCGGCCCTCGTGATCCTATACTGGAGCTTGTCAGAATGGTTTTGTTGAAATATGATGCTTCATCTAAGCCAAGCCATTTCACAGAGAAGTACCCATTCTGACAAAGCTTGTCAGCTGGAAAGCCTCTGAAGTCTCAGGCTTTCTGATCAAAAGAGGTGAGAGTCTGCCTGCCTTAGTGTTTCTGCTTTGAAAATAGACGTTAAGTACAACTTTATTTAGTTGAAAGCTTTGAAAATTGTTTTAAATAAACCAAGCCAGAAAATCCTGCTGTTCTCAAGGTAGCTCTTAATGCTCTTGTAAATGTTTGCCTTTTTAGGCCTCTCTGTCTATACCTGCTTTCACCTCCGAATTCTAAACCATTGTGAAAAGCATGTTGCTTGTTATAGCTCCTTTACTACGCAATACTGCTCACATTTAAGAGAGCTAAATGGTTGCTAAAACTTTTAAGTAAACTAGCATTTCAGGCAAATGTATTGACATCTGTAATTTTGTAGAGGTTTTTAATTGTGACCTTGTTTTCAGCTGTTAATAGGTCCAGTGGCTAGTTCCCTTTCAAAGACTGATATTTTGCTGGGTATATAAATGGGTATATTGAAAAGATAAAGGTGCTGTAAGAGGAGCTAAAATGCCAGGGTTTGGCTGTGTAAATGACTGTGCATGTTTGCCAGAGGAATTAATAACTCTTTTTCAAAATCTTTTAGCCACTATTTTCCATTTGGCTTCTTGCGTCTCTGTGGGTGTATGTGGTTTACCATATAAGTTCTGTTTTGTGTTTTAGGTCCTGCAGCATGTCCGTCTACCACTCCTGAGTCCCAAGTTTCTTGTGGGTACAGTGGGTTCTGATCCGCTTATTAAGAG